GGACTGACTAAGAGTGAGGGCAAAGATCATATTCCAAACAAATATTCCCAAGACCCAATTTTTGATGAATCCACAAGTAGCCACCCATTAGATCAAGTTTCAAAAATAGTTTAGGCCAATTCAAGTATGTAATTACCATTTGGCCAAAAAAGTTTGTAATTACCTGGACAGAATGGGACTTGAGTAATTTGACATAGTCAGCAGTGGAACACCACTCTGGAAGATAATAAGCATCACATATCCTGCTCAAGAGGTTTTTCTCCCAGGGTTGCAAAGACTCTTCAGAAGGAGCAAGATCCCTATGGCACCATGTCACTACTATAATTGTGCCTCCTGGCGCTGCGACTCGCACCAACTCATTAACAAACTGCCAATTTGAGAAGAAGAAAGGAAATTGAAGTAAGATGCTATGACAAAAGCTATGAGGAGAAGATGTAGTCAAATGCCACTGATCGATTGGGTATGACCAGATGAACTCAAAAGAAGGATAAGTATGGATCACAAAGATATGCGGAACTAGCCAAAAAAAAACCTTTGCTTTGTCAGGCATGTGTTCACCACTTTCCATAGACCAGACTAGATCAAATTGGCCATCAGGGAATGGTTGATCCAAAGCATCTGCAACTTGAAAAGAAACCTGCTGAGAGTTCACACCATCACATTGTGAAAGTTAAAGAGATAATTACCATCTTTTCAGAAAATTTCTGCAAAGATAAAAGCTTAAATAAGAAAAAAAAAAATGAAATTCCAAATTTCAATCAGACATGTCCTTGCAGTGGAGAATTCTATTCATCCCATCTATTATTCTATTAGTCTATTATTAAAACTATTAACACAGAAACTCTGGCCAAGTTTAGAGCCAATAAGCTTAAAAATGAAATGCTACAAGCCCAGGTTTTAGGTCTATCCGCCAACGGATACTAATGATCCAACAAATCAAATGGGTGAACTAAAAACTGTAAATTAAGGTCAAACTACATCTCAATCACATTATTTATCTGAAGTTTGAGAGTATAAAATTGCAATCCCAACAAAAAAGACAAACTCAACGCTGCAATTGAGGTCTTGTTTAAGCTCCAGTGAGGTCTTCTCGGTCTCCCAACAACTTGTATGGCTCTAGGTCAAACATATCACAACTAAGATTTGAAAAAAAAAAAAACCCCCCAAATTACCATGTTCTTTCTAGGATTAGCATTAAATATTTTAAACGTGTCTAAACTCCAATATTGATTTGTTATAATGAATTCATACGGATAAAGAGTAATTATATATATCTATATACATGTAGATATAGGAATGGAAGTAACCAAAATTTAGGGAGAAACAAGAATTTATTACTTAAACAATGACCAGTGTAGCAAAACAATTAGCAAAATGATAAGCACAGGCACAATAGGAAATTATAGTATATATCTTAAACTATGGAAATTGGAGGCTGGGCGACATACCTTGTCTGCTAGCCCTTGAGATGCAGCAAGAGCATTGGCCCTTTCAGCCTGGACGGGGCTCAAGGTGATGCCTTCACATTGAGCTCCATACTTAGTTGCCAAGTATCTGGAACTGCCTCCTATCCCACACCCAACATCGACCACTCGCTTATTCGCCAGGTCCTCTGCAACCCAATTCAGAATCACGTCAGTTGTATATACTCTTAATCGGGATGATGAAGGGGTGAATCAAACGAACCGGAAATTCCAGCAAAAGAGAGAGCCTGATCGATCATTCGGATCTGGGCAGCCCGGTGATCGGAAGCAGAGAGGGAAACAGATGAATCGGGGTCGTAGAAGCCATGATGCATGTGGTCGCCCCATATTTCCTCCCAGATACCGGAGGACTCGTCGTAGAGCTCGGCTATACCTTCCTGCAGTGTGCGTGGTTTGGTCGGCGCCGTCGCGTTTGTACGGGTGAGTCTCACACGTGCGGACGTAGTAAGTTCACCAAACCTGGGACCGCGGATTAGAGAAGGTGTTGGTGTTGGTGGCGGCGGAGTTCGGCATGTGAGAGGGGAAGGGAGAAACGTACGAAGTAGTAACGCGGCCATAGTAGTATTTATTATTTTTTCCTTGTGTGGAAAGAGGATAATAGTACAGACTGAAAGTGTAGAAGAAATCGAAACAGAGCTATGGTGTAGTTGGTTCAACTGAATTTAACAGAGAGATGAAATGGATGAGGAGAACAGCGAAACCCCTAACGATGTTTCTATCCATGCACTGAATTTCAGTGGGTACTCACTGGACCACAAATCTTTGGATGTCTTTGAAAGTTATTGGCTGCTGATCGCCGGAAGAAACCAGGATTAGGGTCTGATGCGATGGCGATTACGATTTGCCTTTAGGCTCTTTGTTTGTTTGTGTCTTTTTTCTTTTTCTTTTTTTTTTTAATTAGAAAGAGATTTCTCCACCTCTTCCTTTGTACCTTAAGCCTCTCTCCATAAAGAGGCATCGTTTCTATGCTACAAATTTCTTCAATGGATTAGTACTGAGTTTGTGTTGAAATACCGATGTTAAAATCCTTGGTATATCTGCTGAGGTCCAAGCAAAGACGTCTTTATTAACTCGAAGAAAAGCTATTAGTTTTCCTCTTTCTTCTAGATTCAATTGAGTTCCGATGTGTCTTTCTATTCAGATCTTTATCATTAATCTACACTTCCTCGACATCTTCAACTGGAGCAGCTCGAGTTTCATCTTCAGATTTGTTATCAAGTACCTCAACCCCCATGACCTGTTGGTTATCATGAACTTCTTATGGAATGGTTTTTGATGTCTGATATTTTCCTTTCTGAAGCCTTGTAACCAAGGTAATATAACAATGTCTTACCACCTCCTGGTTGACTCGTAATGTTGCTATCCTCATGGGGGTAAGGAACTTCATACAGATGTGAGATTGAGAGACCAAAACTCGGATCTCAATCAGTGTGGACCGACCAATAATGACATTGAAGGACGATGCCATTTTAATGACTAAGAATCGAATAGAGGGGGTAACATAGGTTGAGAGTAAGGACTCTTTTTATTTGAATAGGTTGGTTGTTGAAATCATATATAGGGCCATCGTACCTCTACAATAGAGTTGGATCTAGGCCTAAACTCTCAAAACAGTGATAATACATAATGTCCAATGCACTTCCTATGTCAACAAGGATACGTTGTACCTCACAATTATTAATCATAATAAAAGTGACCAAAGGATCATTTGAGATGTTACAACTGTATCAAAGTCAGCAAGTGTGAAAGTGATGGGTTGGTTCTTCCAGTCAGCATCATCAAACTTTCTTTTCTAAGCTCTATTTTGATGCTTCACCTCCCTGACATACAACTTCCTCTGCTTGGAGCGCAAACCCCCTGCTTCCAATCCTCCCATTATTATGTGTATAATTCTGGCTGGTGGCAAAAGTGGAGGTGGGGCTTGTTGATATCCTATGCCTTGCCTATTTGCTGTATTACAAGATCCTTATGGCTGTAGCCCCTGTTCTCTAACAAACTCCAGCTGCTCTGTTCTCTGGATATATTCATTCAACATTCCCTTCAAAACTAGACTTTCCAATTCGAGCCTCAAACTATTACACTCCTTCGTTGTATGGCCGTGATCTTAATGAAAATCACAATATCTAGTATGATCACATGTAGCAGCAAAACTTTTCATTGGCCTTGGTCGCCTCAAATCCATTTTATTCTTGATCTGCATGAATATCTACGACCTTGGCAGATTGAAAGGAGTCCATGTAACTGGTGCTTGGTTGGAAGTTTGTTGGAGAGTTACCGAGTTCAGTCTTTCGAATCTCAGCGTGGGGATTGACATCGGACCTCGATTCTGTATTGTCTTCATCCACTTTCTACTCTGGCCCTCATCTCTCCAAGCTGGGTTTTGATTCTTAGTAGGAACTGGCTTCTGTGACAAGGCATACTCCTCAACAGTTATGAATTTCAAATTTCTGTCATTAACCTCGTTAAAAGTGACAGTGGGATGCTTAATTAAGCTATCCCTGAATCTTTCATGGTTAAGACCTTGAATTACAGCCACAATTCTCACAGCCTGATCCAATGAGCTAGCCACCAGAATTGCATCATTGAATCTGCTCATGTAATTCTTCAGAGATTCTCCATCTCTCTGCATGACTCGCATCAACTCAAAAGTGGTTTTCTGAATCAACCTCTTACTAGAAAACTTTGTCACAAAAGCAGATGTCATCTCTATATAAGAACTAATAGATCTCGGAGGTAGACTGTAATATCAAGTTTGAGCATTGCCTCGGAGAGTGGAAGGAAATATCTTACACATTACTGCATCAGAGGCATTTTAAGCCTGCATATAGGAGTAAAAAGCATGTAGATGGTCATCTAGGTCCTTCATTCCATCATATGTTTCGAGCTAAGGTATCTTGAAACCAATAGGATAAGGTTCTAATGTTATGTTAATGTTCAGAGGATGAGGTATTGAAGTAGTGTTATGGTGGGGAGGTGGAGTACCTCGCTGCTCAGCTACCATTTTTTCAAAGTTGTCTATACGTCGTGTGACATCGTCAGGTAAAAGATGTTGAGCTGGGGCCACATGAGACTAACCCTGAAACTCACTGAAGGCAAGAGCATGTTGAATTGGTTGGAGCTCTTACTGTTGAACTAGAGGTTATTGAGTAGGGTTGAGTAGGGTTGAGTAGATTAATGAGGGGATCACCAGGATTATTCCGAGTTAAAAGTTGAGCCACGACCAACTGAAAAACACCAAACTGTTGTTGCATTGCGGTGAGCTGAGCTGCGACTGCATCACCTTGGTTTGGGATGGGAGCTGAATTGTGAGCTGAATTGTAAAGTTGGTTCTCATCACCTCTTTTTGCATATTCAACAGGAGGGAATAGATTCGGGATATAAGGTGGAAGGTTATTGAGGTACTGAGCTTGGCCTTGGGCAGGAGGCTGAGCTTGACTTCCAACTCAGACAGACCGAGTGTTAACCATGATGAAAGAGCAATAAGAGAGCTTTTAGTTTGAATTCCCATAGATGGCGCCAAATGTAATTGCACCAAACCAGAAGTCCTTCTTCAATCCGTATCTTCACTCTGAATAAACCTGCAAAGCCCTGAGGTGGATTCTCGGGGTAGACAGTCCGATGTTTAAATCAACAATAATCGGATCTACCTTTAGAATAATGGAAAAAGGAGTTTTAGGTTGGTTTCAATTACCTATCTAAGGTGGCGCTTGAGGGGTATTTATAGGCCTTAATGAGGTGTCCACATGGCTTGCTTAACAAGATAATCGAAGTCTGACATGTCCCTTAAGGCGATAATCTCAGAACTGAGAAATTAGGTGCGGACTTGCTCACTATACCTGTCATACAATTGTTTAACTGGGAAGTACTGGATTTATCTTTCACTTCAGTTATTAATGAAATGTATCAATACGTCCGAGGTTAAGAACCTCTAACTTATCCTTACAAGCCTCTAATTCCATAAGTTGGACCAGAGTCGGAAGTGTGAATTCTTTTTGATTGTGAAGTTACCACTACAAGGACTACTATATTGGTTAATCTAACAAAGCGCCTAATCTAGAATAAAAGTAAAAAGCATATGAGAATTATAGGAAAGATAGGCATTTAGTTTGAACAAATAATTAAATAAAATTTAAAACAGTGATTACTTTTAAAATAAAAGTATATTTTACAATCTAAACTACATCATTTATATCAGTAAATCAATTAGATGAACCATCTGATTTGAGACATATTCCTCATCTAACAGTTTTCAATTTGTAATCTAATTCAGTTTGAATTGTTAAACTGAAAAATATTCTAAGGAAGATTGTTGTCTGAATTAAATTAGTAGCAGGCTAGCAGTATCGTTTGGTAGTTGGTACAATACCTCATGCTCAGCAAGATAAATGGTAATGTAATTTTTAGCAGCTGCACTGAAACTGATGTCGCTGTTCATTTAACTTATTGGTCATATAGCAGTTTAAAAGCAAAATTAACTTTAAATCAAAAACAAAAGGCATATAATATGAATGCACAAAGAAGACAATCAGTTCGAGAAACCAACTAGTAGCACATTGTTCCGTACATAAGCTCAAGAACAACATTCCAAATTTATTTCCATCTTTTAAAGTTTATTTGAAAACTGAATTGGAATCATATCTGAAAATTATCCGTAAACTTCTCCTACATTCTGTGACATTAATCCTACTATATATTATCAAGTTTATGTGCTTTCTTGTTTTCATTTCTCACCCAATATTAGTTACCAGAAAAAAATAAAGTCGTTATCACATTTGACGCATGACAACAATAAGGGTAAGAATAATGAACCAAACCCGAATCAATTCTCACATTTCACATCCCAAACCCATAAAGCTAAACCCTTGTTACAAGAAACATGGAATGGAATGATCCAAAAAAAATCTTTGCCAACCAGGTAAGGAGCTCAACTTATATTCCACCAGAGTACAGAGCTTCCTCCCAGTCTATATCCTCTTCTTCCCCTCTGCTTCTCATCAACACTAAAATCCTCCTAGCCTTTCTCTAGTACAGTCACTTCCTTTTGCTTCCACCTTTTGAAGCACTTCTGCAGCTATTGCCTTTTAGCCAGCCCCTTGAACCTCTGGCTGCCATGGTTCAGTGCAAACAATGCTGCCACACAGTTCCCTTGGGTTGGCTCAGCTCCAGTTTCAAAAATCTTCAGTACCGCTTACAAAGAAAGGCTATGCTTCCCGGTTGTAAACAGAAAGCAACAATGAATACAATGGTAACTGTCAAAATCAGCTAGCAAGACATAATCTGATTTCCAGGAACACATGTCTTTATGACCATCAACACAAGTAACAAAAATATTTAACATATTATCATGCTGTAAAAGAAAGTATGAAGTTTTCAAGTTAATAATAATAATGTAATAGGGAAACAAAGACAATAGTATCCTGGCAAAACGAAATTGGATTCCTAGTGAGTAGCCAACTCTTCAACTAATTGCTTGAATTTTACCACAGAAAATGCTCACTTCTAACAAGTAAAATAAGGGGGGAATGAAATGAACAGGCATAGGATTAATCTAGGACAAGTAATTTATCCCTACCTCAGGCAATAGCATAAGCAGCTCCAAAAATCCAGGTATAAAATCTGGAAGAGAATTCATCTCATCTCTAACCCTATTCATACCATCAGCCTAATCTCCTACAGCAACATGCACGGCCAGAGCAGCAACTGCAATGCTTTAAATGTGAAGCAAACTAAACAGAACAGAGAAGAGAACATGAAAACAAGATGTTCCCATTTATAAACCAAAAATGAAAATTAAAAAGTATACAACTTTGCCTTATCCACCTAAATCTCCAACAACTATAGGCTGCTTAAATTCATATTTAAGATCACAGACAACCACCATATTATTATTATTTTTTAAAGCAGTAGCTTAGCTTAGATCTCAGTGAAATTACTATAGGTTTTATAGTCACCAAAAACATTTGCTTTTACTAAAGACACTATCAAAGCACAATTCATAAACTGGTTAACCAGCAGACTCACCAAGGATACAAGAGACTCATATGCTTTAAGCCTCAAGTTTCTCTCAGTCTCAGCACTAGACACTTCATTACCAAAGGAACAATGGAAATCCCGAAAAAAAAATAAAGAACAATTAATTGCAAAATCAAACAAAAAAAAAAAAAAAAAAAAAAGGAACAAGTGCAAAAGTCCAAGAAAAAAAAACCTTCAATAAAAAAAACCGCCCAAAAATAAAACGCAAAGAAAAAAAAACAAAATCAGGGGAAACAAAACCAACAAAATTTGATGGAAAATATTTTTTTATTTAATATTTTGACTGAACTTGGAAAATCCCAAGCTGCCTACGTACCCTTTAAAAGGATCAAGTCAAACGTAGTTCTAAAAATATTTTTTGAGCCGTTCACAGTTTATACTCATGCGGGCCAGGAGTATTACAATTTTATTATTCTTCTTTATGACAAGGAGTATCACATGAGACCAATCTGCAAACAATCTTTGTCCACAAGCTAGTACGCCCTGTCCCATGGTGTCTTCCTGAAAGAAATTCTCAAATGTAAATCTGAAGTAAAGACAGCAACTTCAGTTAGGAAGTGACAGCAAAATGGTTAGGAAACAAAACGCACCATATTCAGTAGGTGCAGAGGATTTATTATCCAACATAAGGTAAATTAACACCAAAGCTCTTCCATTCCCAAGTGAAGAACTTTAAATCCCATTTTAATAGCTATCTGCAACAATGAATTGAAAAGAATTAATTAAACAATTTAATCACATTTCTATAATAAGTTAATGAAAAATTAGGAAAGACAAAACAAACCTGTTCAGATTGTTGGATTGTATGTGCAAATGAAATTGGAGTTGGTAGAGTTGGAGGAAGATATTGTGGCTGCAGTTGAAGCCAGGAGTGCTGAAGAATCTCAGGAATGGTAATTCTGTCCACTTGATCAAACCTAAGCATTTTGCGGATTAAGTCTTTGGCTCCAAAAGACAGGTGCTCAGGAAGATTGTAGATTCCAGCCTGAAATTAAGAGGAATAAGTAAAACTCATACTGAGATTGAAGGAGTTTTAAGTATTACAAATAAAAATAAAGAATTATTCCACTCACTTCCATCTTCATCAATTCATCAGGACCAATATCTTGTCCAAAAGGAAAGTCACCACAAAGTAGAGCATATAATATAACACCACAACTCCATATATCAGCTTCAAAAGCATAAAATTTGCCAGAGAGCACCTACAAAATTTTAACAGATTAATATATAAAGTAAACAAAAAACAATCTTAAATATAAATTCATTTTTCAAAGCAAGTATTTCATTCATTGATATGTACCTCTGGGGCAGCATAAGGTAGGCTTCCAACAGACTCTCTTAGACGATAATATTTGAGCATTTTGCTCAAACCAAAGTCAGCAATTTTCACGTCACATCTTGAACCAAGAAGCACATTCTCGAGCTTAAGGTCTCGATGCACAATCATGTTCCCATGACAATGATTCAACCCACAAATGATCTGATGACATTAATTAAAAGAAAGTTGATTAGATACTGATTCAAATTCTTGAAAAAAATTAATAATTACAACAATTTTCATCAACAATGTGCTACACTACCACCACCAATGACTGGAAATTTGCCAAATATATGTGAAACTATTGGGAGAGTTATAAATGTTTATGAGACTAATCAGGCTAAACGTATGCATACCTATGCTATCAAGAAAACTAAAAACGCAATGTACTACATGCTCACTAATAACAAAACAGCAGGTCACAAAAGGTATACAGTAGGCTCACAATTACAAGAGCAGATGAGCTCAAAACTCTCAATACAAATGAATACAATCATATTTTTCCGTAAGCAACAAGCAATTAAATATAGATGAACTGCAGAATTATTTACACAAACCAACTACCCCAAACTAGATTGCCCCAGCAAAGCATTCACTTCCCAGTTAGCCACATGCCACAGGTTAACACTTGTACTTTCAAAAGTATGCAGGATGCAAGATTCGCAAAACATATATACACTCAAATTCCCACAACGTATAAAACAGCATCTAGACATTATCAAATTAATAATTAAAACAAATGCAGGTTAATAAATTGATTCATACCTGTCGGAAAATTTTTCTTGCCTCGCCCTCAGAGAGTTGGCATCTGCCATTCTTTTGTTTAAGTAGGTAGCTAAGTAGATCCCCATTCTCAGCATATTCCATTACAATATATGTATGATTTTTTGTATGAATTTCCTCCTCTAGTCTAATAATGTTAGGATGCATCCCCAGCACTTTCATAATCTGAATTTCTCTATTAATCTCTGCATTAAAAATAACATAGAATCAGTAAAAATAATATGAAAAACTTAACTAATCCTAGAATCAATACATTAAAATCATCAATTGATGATATCACGCATGCATGTAATTTGTGCATACCAATATCATTATGTTGAGAATCAATAATCTTGATTGCCACATTGTTACCGGTCATCATGTCCTCAGCTAGGACGACCTCACCAAAGCTGCCGCTACCAAGGGTTTTGAGAAAGCGGTAGTTCACAATACCATTCATGTTTGTTTCCTGGAAAAACAGAAAAGAAAGTTTAGGTTAATTCAGATTCTTAAGACTTGAGAAACTCAATCGATTAAAAAGCACTGACTGAGTCTTACTTTATGAACAAGAATGAATGTAGAACACATACAGCAATTAATAAAAATATTTATTTCAAATAATCGTTATTTTTATCGTACATGCATGTTTTTTATTATTTTTTTCAATCGTACGTGCGTGCTGGAACTTACGAAAATAACAAAGAACCGATTGAAGAAAATATTTCCTAAAGGTAGCGATTGAAACCCTAGCCAGTACTAAAGGAAAACTAGCCAGTACTAAAGGAAAATATAAGTAGATGTTTTACATGTAAAAAGACAATCATACATACAAGAAAAAGAAAAAGAAAAACAAAAGTAATCGAAGTGGAACTTACTTACGATCGATGGGAAGAAACAATCGAATGAAGAGAAGTTGAAGTTGTTGGAAACCTTGGAAAGAGAAAATGTTTCCAAAGATTTTGGGATGGAAGAAGAAGAAAAAGAAAAAGAACCCCCGAAGTTCTTTCGATCGATGGAAAGGGATACGAGTAGAGTAGGACTGTGCTAATCGGCGGCTATTTATAGACTTTGAAGGTCTCTTTTGGTAATTTTCTTTGATAATTTGGCTTGTTTCTATTGGCCAAAACTAGTTTGCTTGGCTTATTAAATGTGAATTGCTGACCTGGCAACTGGTGATGGTTAAGGGGTCCCCACACTTTGCTGAAGTGTTAACGTAATCTGTGCTGACATGGGCAATTGGCCGCAAAATTAAA